GAATACCTTAGTCCCTAAAGAAACACCCCTGCCTTTCAACATTCTCACTCTCACCATAATCTATGTAAGAAATACGGGCTACATGCTAGGAGTAAGGTCAAAAATGAAACAAACCATCATAACAGGCTAAATGTCATCTTCACCAGAGTCCTGGTAATGGGTTCTGCATTTAGCTACTAACCACAAGGTCAGCAATTCAAAACCACCAGCTCCATAGAAGATGAGGCTTTCTACTCCTGTCAAGAGGTAGTTTCAGAAACCCACAGGGGCAGTTCTACCCTCCTACAAGGTCACAAGGAGTTGGAATCAACTCAACAGCAGTGAGGGAGTAAACTTAATCCATACCAGCTGGTTCAAAGATCCAAGGCATGAACAGGCCAGGCCTGGCCTCTTTGAAGGAAAGGAAAAGACCAAAACAACTAATGTGTAAGTGAGCCTGAAGGGAAGCTTTAACCATAGACATGTAAGGCCAGCTGCATGGGCCCTCATGGGGCCATGGAGTCAAGAGTCAACTTAATAGCAAGTGTAGGTGTTGGAAGGTCTTGTAAGTCTTGTAGGTCATGGAAAGAATAGACCAAGTGAGATGGAGAGCCACTGGAAAGTTCTAACCAAGGCTGGATGTGATGTGACTTTTAACGGGACCCCTCTGGCTATCACAGGAACAGACTATAGAGCTACGGCGGAAACAGAAAGGCTACTACGATCATCGGGGCCCTGGCATTCTAACCTCGAGCTGCTTCAGAAGAACACTGAGGGCTGCTTAAAACACACTCTTCTCACAAAAGGCTGCAAGTCGATGGCAACCAGACTATGAAAGTGGGGCTTGGGGGAAAAAATCAATGATGGAACAAGCAGCTAATCTGGATGGTCCCCACTGAATTGATGCCGTTTAAAAAAAATCCTAAGAGATTACCTACTGAATGTTTCCATTTGTTTTGCAATGACTGAATGATAGAGTCATGATGTTGACGGTCAGGGGTGAGGGTAAGGGCAGAAGGTGGCAGCTACACAAGAACACCAAGAAGTTGCGGAGCTGATGTCTGGACTTTGGAACAGAACTGTAATACCACAGTATTCTTTTGCCATGTCACCTGTGGGAGAAACTGGGTTACAAGTGCACGTGACTCTACAATGGTCTCAAAATGAAGAGTTTAAGTTTTAAAACTCGTTGCAGAAATTAAAAACCAACAACAGATTCCTGGGTTCCACTTCGTTTCAGAGCTCTGGGGAAGCTGAACATGTGCCTTTTGAACAAGTTTCTAAGAGATACTAATCTGGGACTGGCTCTGAAAAGCAGTGGTCTGTGGAGCAACATCTTAGGGCAAGTACTATTATTCCTCAGACCTCAGCCTAAGAGGAGGGCACTGGGGGCCAAATGGCAGAGCCAGAATGCAAATCAGCTCCTCTTGGTTGTTTATCCCTAAGCAAATCAAGGTCAGCCATAAAATGAATAGTAGTCTCCAGAGTGTAGTGGCGAAGAAACCTGACAGGCCTCAGTAAAGCAGATGCCTAGATTGAAACATTTGACTTTAAAACACACCCACCAACACACTGAAACATGTTCTAGATCAGCTCTGATCCTATGCTGGGGCTCCTGTTTAACTCTTGGACTCCTCAGTTTAAAATGTGAGCTTTTTGCACAGGGCACCAACCCACCCAAGGGGGGGGTATTATTTCTACCTCCACAGGGAAAGAGGGACCAGACTTCAACCCAGTGCTCCAAAATGTGAATGTAACATGCCAGTGTGGAGTAGGGAACCAGTGAAGAGGTCTGAGGGGCCAGCCCCAATCCCAACTACTACGCAGACACCTGCCCCTCCGCCCAGATTTTATTTCAAAGGACAGCATTGAATCTGCAGCTCCAGGAGAGGGACATAGCTGATGGGAGCACACGGGGACAGATGAAGGGAGAGGAGAGTGTGGAGCACATCCTGGCCCACCAAGCCTTGAGGACAATATTCCCGCTCAGAGTAGCCAATCCACAGAGAAGACCACATGGCCAGCACCTCTGAGACACGACGTCCCTCACTGGCCCATAGCCCTACAGAGGACAACATTGGAGACACAGGGTGGGAATTGCGCCCGATCTGATCCCGGCACACCGAGG